ACTATATACTACTATAAATATAACTACCCTAAATACAGGTTCTGTTTCCTAAAGAAATAACTTATAATTATAGTAGTTAATAAGCTCGGTAAGATTAAACTTATTTATAATAATATAAATATAAATAAGTATAACTATATTATTTATTCTATAATCCGGTCTAATAATAATATTACTTTTATCCCTAATAGGGCTAATACCCTTACTAAAGTATACTATATATTAAACTATATAATAAAACTCTTTTAAAAGTAATATTAGCTTATAATATATATAGCTATATTAAAATATATATTAGAGAATACTATCTAGGTAAAGAACCCTATTCAGAAATAAGAGCGGTTTAAAAATACTAATTATAGTAAGTTTTTTATAAAAGTATAGAATTATTTTATTTAAAAAAGAGAGGTTAGCTATATTTTGGTAGCTAGTTACCTCTTTAGTTATAAAGCTTATTATATATCTTATAAGAAAACTAAGAGCTTTAATTTAAAAATTATTAAATATTATATCTATAGTATTATAGTATTATCTAGACCGGATAAAAGAGCTAATTCGGCTTATAATACTAAATATCTGTTCTTTAAACTTTAATAAGCTATTAGTAGCTCGGTATATAATAATTATTTATATTATAGACCCAAGCTCCGGTATTTTTATTTCTATAAATATATCTACTAGATCTCTCTTATTATTATAGCCAGGGCTAATTCCAAATACTTTATATTAGATATTATATATCTCAAGTTAGCTATATATATATAAAAATTAGTCTATTAATCTTCTGTATTTACTATTTCTTTAATCTAGAAGTTATTTCTTAGTATTATAAATAGTTATTCTATTAAACCGGAATATATTCGAGAAGCGGAAAATAATATTAATAAAGCCCTTTTTAGGTTATTTATTTCCTGGAAGAATCTTAATTAAGTATTTAAAGAATATATAATAGATATAAGATAGTTTCCGGATATAAGAGATACCTATTCTTATTTTTAGAATATCTTAAAACCTACTTTTTTACCTTATATTAGATACCTGGCTTTAAATATAATATATATTTAAAAAGGAAATAAGTAAATAGACCTTAATTAGAAGTTATAGTAACTAGAAAATAAGGAATAAGACAGGAACGAGATTACGGATCCGGTTATTAAAGACGAAAAAGGAAATAAAGGCCTAAACTAATATATATTTAAAGATATAGAGATATTCTATCTATTATAAGTATAGTTCGAGGTATATTCTAAATAGAATAAAGAGGCTAGTAAAAATACAATTTACTTAAACCCAAACCTACCTATATTTGAGAATATCCGAATCTAGAGGCCTTTCTTATTTACTAATCTGGATATAGGAGAATAATATAATAAAGATATAGTATTAGTATAGAAAGATAAATTCAAGAGATTTCAGAAGAGAAATAAGCCCTTAGATAAATCTATAATATCTATTAATAGGCCTTATTTAGCTAATAGAGACCTCAAGTCTATAGAACTAATTCTAATACTATTTTTTATTAATATTAACTCTATTAGCCTTATATAGCTTAAAGCTTATACTAAAGTTAATTAGTTTCTAGTAAACCTTATTTAATTTATTAGAACCAAGTTTAAACTAAACAAGAAATAACTTATAATAATAAAGACCTTTTTATATACTATACTTTATATATTATAAAATCTGGTTATAGATCTATCTAAATAAATTCTATTTTATATTAGAAATAAAGGAAAAACAGAGAAAACGGAAGTTATTAAGGCCTTTCTCTTTAGTATAAAACTATTTAATATTTCAAATAAGGTTATATTATCTATTCTAATAGGGGCAACTATATCTTATATTAAGGAATCTATAGTATATACTGTTTTTGAAATAAGTATAGGTTCGGGCTTAGTAAATACGGCTAATAAAACTAACTAAAGAAATATACTAAGAAATAAGAGAATACTTATTATAAATAAAATTAATATAACTAGTAAAAATCTATTATATTATATGAATTAATAATATAAAGAAATATTTAGTCTACTTACGGAATCAGGGGCTATATTTAGTAGACTTTCTATTATAGTTACCCTTAGTAATTTTTACTAGTTTCTACTAGTAAATAATAAGCCTCTCTAAATATAAAGCCCTATCGAAAATCTATCCTTATTACCTTATAGGGAAATATGGCCCTAATTTAATAATATAGTAATTCTTACCGAGTCTATATAGTAGTAAAGAGATATAGCCTATTAAATATTATTATATTAAACTAAAAATATAAAAATAACTTAAGATAATATTAATCTACTAAATAAATAAATAATAGTAAAGCAGCTTATATATAGTTATAAGATGCCTCCTATAATATTCTATTAGTAAAATAAGCTATAAGCCCGAAATAATTATTAATATATAAAAGAATTTACTAATATAAAGAATTAGAAGATTTTCTTCTTTATAATAAAGTATAAAATACTAATATAATTAACCGGAAAACCCCTCCTATATATTCTTATAGAAGCTTTCCTTATAGAAGATAGTAATAGACTTAAGGGTTCTGGGCTCCTAATATATATATCCGATATACTAGTTATATTCCTCTATAACTTTTATATAAAAAGTGAATTAGTTAATAGATTCTAAAATATAATAGTTAGTATTATCTATAATTTAAATACTAAGATAGTAAAAGTAGATAGCTCTTATATCCTCTATAATTAACCTCTATTTTATATTCTAATATAATATAATAATCCAAATAGTTTAGACTTCCCTTAACTCAAACCTATAATTATACCTATTTTTCTAATTAAGAATTCAAATACGAAACCTATATATAGGCTAAGTATTTAGAGGACCCAGGTTCTACTAACCCTTGGTTAGGCCATTACTATATATAAGGATTAAGGGTCTACTTTTAATAAAGCTATAATAGATCTAAATATAGTTTAAATAAAATAATCTAAAGATAATCGAAACTATATAAAATAGTTATCTCTAAATATTTAGCTTACTAAAATATATATTCTATATAGAATATCTCTAGGTAGTAGACTATAACTACTAAACGAAATAATCCTGAATAATATAACCTACTATTCCGATCCTAATCTATATTTAGAGATAGAGAAATTAGAATAATTAGATAAAGTAATATTTATAAGATAAGAGAGTATAGAGGTTATATAGTTCCGGTAATTATATAAACTCGAATCCAAATCTTATATATTTATATAAGATACTCAAATACTCTATTACTAGATATCTTTCTCAAATACTCAAATATTAGATACCAGATACCAGATGCCTCTCCTAAATGCCTTTCCCAAATGCCTTTCCCAAATATTCTATTACTAGATATCTCTCCCAAATACCCCTCTCAAATACCTCTCCCAAATACTCTATTACCAGATATTAGATATCTCTTTCAGATACTTCTCTCAAATATTCTATTACCAGATGCCTCTCCCAAATACTCAAATATTATTAGATACCAGATACCCCTTATAGATACCTCTCCCAAATACTCTATTACTAGATACCGGAACTTATAATATAAATTATATATTAAGAAATATATTCCCTAGAATTAATAGTATAATTAGCTTCTAAATAGCCTCTATATATAAAATATAAGGTAAATAGATATCTAAATACAAGCGAGAAGCTTATAGGTAGATATATAATAGAATAGGAGGTTTCTAGTCAAATCCAATAAAGTTATATAATAAGGTAGGTTATTTCTATAAACCAAATCTGTATTACTAATAATTAAAGAAGAGCTATAATATATTATTAAGTATACTTAATAGCTTATATAATATAATAAATACCCCAGAACAAAATACGATCCTGTCCTGTACTATATTATAACGGGATCTGGGTATAAATACTTCTTAATTATTCGAACCCTCTCTAGGATTATAAAATTTTTTGGTATTTCTAATTTTTTTGGTATAAGAACGAGCCGACTAATCAGAATAGCAGAATAGACCTATATTAAAAAAGTAGTAAATCAGAAACCAGATATTATATGATTTAACTTATAGTATTTTCGTTTTCTCTATATATTAAAACCTTTAACTTTAAACAAGCTTAAAAATTAAAGCATTCGTCTTTAAATAACCCCTAGCTTTTTAAATAAGATATTATCTTAATAGTACTCTTATTAAGTCTATTATATAATTTAAATAATAAGAGTACCTTAAGAGAAGAGTTTGCCCTTAATAGCTAAGGAAGCCTAAGAATATATTAAGGTTCTACCTTGCTTACCAAGCCTTGCCACTACTTGATTGGGTAGTACAGTGGTACTAGACTCGGGCCACTCCAGAGCCTTACCTAATTAGGCTAGCGTGTCACGTGTAACATCACGTGTATACTACTCAACTACTCTAGAATATTCTAGAGTAGTTGAGTAGAGTATTGAGTAGAGTATGAGTAGTGAGAAATTTATTTGAGTAGAATATGAGTAGGGCCCACTACTCTACTCTACTCTACTTATTTCCTACACTGAATCGAACGATGGAAGTTTATCAAAGAGGGGGAAGCATAGGAGATGTCAAGAATCCACTCATTCATGCGGGTCAAGCGATCCTGTTTGACCTAAGCAGGATCAAGTAATCCAAGGGGATGGCCAAATGTCCCGTGTTGCACCGGCTCGTCCGATTCTTTGTGCATACTGGAAATCGATGGATTGGCCTAAAGATCTCGTAGCATATATTTTATACCCCTGATTTCCCCAGATAGAGCACTAGTTTCAGATTATTTCAGCCGCCACAACAGACAAGGGATGTCTCTGAGTCGAAACTTCGCCCTCGTGCAGCCTCGTATCCAAAAGTCGTCTTGCATCCCTTGCTGATGCTCCCAAATCCGTCTCCTTGCTAACCATCTATCAAGTGACTTCAAGTTATGGACCCAATAACAATAGTTGAAATTGTGGTAAGACGCAACTCCTCCGAGGATCACCAAAAGGTTCACTGACAACTTAGTCAGGTGAAACCTGCTACAAAATGGATCACGACGACAAAATATCTATACGGCTTGCAATCGAAGTACAAAGATGCACCAATGGCTACGATCTCAATCTGCTCCAAGTCAACGGTCATCTGTGCCTCTCTCGCAAATCCAAAGTCTCCTGTTGTGGAGACGGACCTAGTGGACTCGTGAACCTCACAAGCAGAACTACCTATGGTACTTGATATTGCACTTACTAGCGCATGGTAATTTTCAGCTGTCTGGAACTCGGAACTCCAAAAGATTGTGGCTGGGGTGCCCGATCCTAGCCAGATACGATGGCGATCAAGATTGCGAATGATGTGGAATGAAACGAGGTTGAATAAGCTGCTCAATGCTCTGCGTGGTTAGTAGACAGCTATAAATCTCTTGATACAGCTACTTCAAATGTATGAAAAATTTTGAACTGATGCCAAAGTCATGGCTGATCACTTACACGGACACTCTTTCTGAGATCAAACTGATGCTGCAGCAGAAAGATTTAATTGGGACCTCCATCCACGCGACACGGTCCCTTCGCTCAGAAAATCCTATCATCAGAGTCGCCACATCTGTCAACGTTACTGACAGCAAGACTGGGAGTATTTGTTCCTCGGACACTGCCTCCATCGTAGCTCCTTCAGACCTCGAGCTCGGGTTCGACGACATAATAATCAACAGCCAAACGTATGGGCGGTTGCTTGCCCAAGCTCAAGCCAAGTCGAGAATCGAGAGTTTGGAGGAATTGGATGATCTCATCGACTTCGCCAATGATGACACCGTCAGGGAGGAAGAATCGTCTGTTTTTGGACTCCCGGAAGCTTTGCGCGGCCTTGATTGAGGGGCTGACACTTCATGAACCTGAGAAAGAGAAAGAAACGAAAGAATCTAACGATGAACCTGGAACAGAAGAAGCTTGCAAGTTTGGGCATTCCAAAGCTATGCTTTCCAAGGCCCTTATCCAGGCGAACACGGCTGTTCTACTCGACAATGCGCAGAGGTTTGAAGGCGCCATGTGAGCGTACCCACAGGCTTGCAATCTGTTGCAGCAGGAGATATTGGGTAGCCCAGGCGGCCAAGGGAAGCGAAAATCAGAAGCAATTGCGAGTTTAAACAATGCCAATAAACTCTAACTTTGTAAAACGAGATACTTATATCAGCCAAATAAGTCAACTGCAAAACCTTCCTAGGGCCCCGAGATCATAATGCTTTACCCTCAAGCCCTGAGAGTGGAGGATTTGGAGAAGATGGTCAATAGAGAAAAAGTTTATATTTCATCACACCATGAACAAGCGACCGCAAAAAGCTAATGACGATCATTGACCTCCAAAGTTCGAACTTTCGTGAAGTGCTAATGTTCAATTTTAACAAATTTGAAATATCTCGGTCATGGCACAGCCCTCGTTGCGCAAAAATCTTGTTATGCGAGACGGTTGAAAGCGCCTTTTTGTGAAATAAATAAAGCTTAGAAGGCCCACCGGCTCTTGGTTATGGGGTTTCCTCCGGAAGCTTGAAATGGTTTGGATGTATGAGTAGTTGGTTTTTGTCGGGCGCCCTTCGTTTGCAGCTTCCATTTCACCCCAGGCAATGGAGTCAATGCCACAAACGAGATCTTAGCAACAACAACAATTTCCTGAATAATCCAAATTCTTTTCCAATAAGGGCGAGCAAAAAGGCTCTCAAGTCCCTCCCAAATTGTATCTCGCGCACTTGAAGATGTTGTGGCCGGCATTCTTTTCAATGCCGCGATAGCTTGGGAGCTATCATCAGAAGATTCGCCAATCCATGCAATCACACCCGTGACCCTTGAGTAAATAATTCTCATGAGTTGCACTTGGTGTCCCCCTTTCCCGGTTGTCCCCGTTGGTTGATACATAAAGCCTCCACCCATACTCGTGAAATTTTTTAAGTAGTGCAAACGCTCGGAGATTTTGTCTGACGTGGAAACCTTTATTGTCGACAAAAATAGTCCCGTGTCATCAAGACTTCCCCAGCAGTACGAGAAAGCGGTATAATCGGGGAGATCAAAAAGCGGTACCTCGTCTAAACAGCACCGGATTTGTCGATCCTGGGTCCTGAACAATGCCAAGAGGCGGGTATATTGCAGTGAGTCTCTCAGAGGGCGGCAAATCATTTCTACTGGTATCTGAAAGCCAAAAGCCGAGAAGATGTCCAGGCTGGATGTTGCGAGAGCCTCATCTGCCCAAGCTCCGATTATTTGAGGCGCATCAACTGCATTCGTCGAATTCCTTAATTCGAAATTTCCTGTCTCAGAAGCTTTCTTTGGACGCGATAACAATTCTGGCTCCGATATTTCACCATGTGACAAGGCCCACGTGGCCCAACGTGAGTTGGGGCTGAAGGCTGTTGATGATTGCTTGGAAAGGCGGTGTGTAAGGCATATTCCTGGTTGTCAATATTTGATTCAAGACCTAAAAAATGGATTGCTGGCGGTGTTGACGAAAAGAAGTTTGAAAGCAAGTGTGGGAAGGAGCAAGTGATTAAAGTTTGCACTCAAAAACAGCCGCGAGGCTGGCGGTCGCAGGATGGCAACTTCTCCCAATCGCACTGCCCACCAGCCGAACACAACTTTGTGAGGTTCGAATACATCACAATAAAAAAACAAAAACAGGACTATGGAGCAGAGTGTGCAAGTACTTTGGTTTTGGATGCTCTGTCTGTGTGATCGAGAAGGAGTTTCTGATATCCGCCATCTCCCAGCGGCACAGCAGATCCGCATCCCCACCAGTATGTCCAAACGTCCTCCATATCAAGAACTCAGATCACAACTTGTGCTCTATAACTCGTTATGTTCCTGCCCATCACCATCAGTATCAGCAATAATAATTTTAGCAGCCTCGGCAGCCTCTGCGATCTTGCTCTTGATTGCAGCTTTGACACCCTCGGTAGCCTCGCTCGCGACGCTGCTTACAGTCTTTTCAATGATGCTCTCTGGTGCCTTGACACCATCAATGCCCATCAGCTCGGTCTCAAAGACTACAATCTATCAGCAGGAACCCTAGTATCATCCGTAGAAGAACATACTCAATGTGCTGCCAGCTGGGATAGGGCCCATGTTCCGGTCTCCATAACCAAACTCAGGAGGAATGGTAAGAGTCCTCTTCTCGCCAATGCACATGTCGATCAGGTTGTCATCCCATCTGCATATCAATCAGCACCATCCCTTATTCTTGTGTTGGACGCCATACCCCTTGATGACGCTTCCCTTTCCAACAACGAAGCTCAATGGCTGTCCTCTGTCGTAGCTGGCGTCGAATTGCTTGCCATCTGATTGCAATGTGCCGCGATAGTGGACTGAGATCTTGTCGCCTTTCTGCGACTTGCGGTCACACTCGACAGCGCGGGTCACTTCGACCTTAACTTCCTCAGCGGCGACGATGGCTGCCAGAGCGGCAATTGAGAGGGCGAGGAAACGCATGTTTTTTCAATTGGGGTGAGAGTCTGCAGCAAGGAGGTTAGTCAGTAGATGGATGGTGATTGAGAGGTGAGAAGTCGAATATACCTTTCAAATACTGGCCACGTTGAATTGGGAGCCTGCAATTGTACCTGGAGCTTTCTGATGAATCGGAGACGTTGCTCCTGCAAGGATTCATGCGAGGGTGTGGAGATCACGTGCTTTGTGTCCCGAAAAGGGTTTAGACCCAAGGGCTTGAAATGATTGGTGGCAGATCATCGAACACGCAGCCTTCACTCAACATCACTTCCATCAACATACCGACCAGCGACGGCGACGACACTATCCGGCCGGTTCCGACTTGGTATCCTCACCGAGTCCCAACTGTGTGCAACCATTATCACGGGTTTGAGTGCCCCTTACGCGTCCTAGCTAGCCGGCGTCTATTTCAGGTAAACCAAGGCTGCGGGCTCCGTCGGTCAGCAGTACGGGTTCAGCTGAAATCCTTCATCCAAGATCTTCATTTACAAGCTTGCAACAAGGAGACCACCCCCAATTATGATTTTGAGCGATTTATTGTGAGCTCGAGCAATCTTCGAGACGCGCTGGGTCGCGGTGCTTTATTATTGTTTGCGTGGTTGACCGTTTCTGCCAGGAACACCTCTCAGAAAGCCTGCTAGTCAGCCCACGACCTCTGCAAGGCGCAGCAGCACGCTTACCGCATGCTCAACATGCTTTTGCCATTTGATTTGCTCTCAATCTGTCAGGCACTCGGTGTGCAGGCCGTTGGTGCCCAAAGCCATTCGTCTTTTAACGCGGCGAGGGTTGCCTTAAACGCTGCGGCCCCAATTTCTCGCACTCGGCAATCCACGTCCCTTTTCTTTCTGTTCGGGACGGAAGAACAAATGCTCACCGAGCTCAATGTTTCATTTTCTGAGTCACCGGCTCTTTAATAATTGCTGCGTCTCAATGGAGGGGTGGCAACCAGGCGCAGTCACCTGGAAGTTGTGTCGATCCCACCAGTCACCACATCGCTCCTCGGTCTGAGGAAAAGAGTTCGCCCGGAAGACTGCCCTGCTCTCGGCCTTCTAGCCCCCAATTGGCCACCATCAGTTGCTAATTGCTCCAGGTATAAAATGCTTTCCCATCTTTTTTATTTCACATTCTTGAGTACACTTTGACTTCTAGATTTATTCTTCTTTAACCCAGCAGCCACGCCCATTGTTACGCCCTGCTGTACACCTAATCCGCAGCAATCAAATCCCCGAGTCTGCCCATCATAAAGGCAAACCAGCCCACAGCAGCAACAATGTCACAATACAGCTACACCCAGCACAAAGCCATCGTTCACTCCCGCGACTCTTCAGTCGCCTCGGGGACATCCTCCTCAAGCCGGACTTCAGCAGAAGCATATTATTCATCATCGTCGAGCAGAACAAGCATGGCAAATGGTTTCAATCCCGCGGACGGTCTCCAGTACCGTCGTGTCCCCGACAATGGTTTGTGCACCCTCACACAGACTCGTCTGACAAAAGCTAAATATTCCACCTCAGAAGACAAATACATAACCTCCAAGACTTCCACCACCTCGCGCGGCACAATCGAAGTCCACAACCACCGCAAAGCCCGCCACACCAGCGATGAGCCCAGAGCTTCAAATGCCACATATGAAGACTACAAGGAGACCCAACGCAAGCAACAACGCAAGTGAAGTTCGATTTTCATGTGATGATAATAGTGGAAGTGAGGCGGGCTTATTTGGTTGGCGGTGATGTTTGTCTTGGAGCGTGGGGCTGTCGGTCAGGGGGAAGCTTTTTCTAAGCGACCGCCACCGAGCTCGCCCTGACATTGTGCACTGCGCGAATTATTTCGCCTGTCAGCCTTGGGTGCGCGGGTCATCTCGGAGTTTGCGTGGTACATTTCTGTCTTGGTATGGATGGATTGATGGCTGGCCGGAGTTTGGATCATCGTATGCATGAAGGGATCGGAGGGTGGTGTTAGCCCTAGTGAGGCTAACTTGATATCATTTGTTACTACACCACCTTGGGCAACCACAGCATATTTCCCATTCTGTTCTCATCAAATAGTTACTCGCCCGCCGCTGTGCGAGCCAATACAATATAATACATTAGTGCCAACCCCTCCTGCTGCACTGAAGTGTCTCGCATGCGGTTTCAGTCACGTTATCTTCCAACACGTCAACCACCCCTCCTTCCTTACCTAATCCACCCCCCTCCTTCAGCCTTGCCTAAAGTTGTACCCACAACCTCTCTGTATCTGCATGACAAAAGGCGGGTGTAACAAACTAGTACCTGCGCATCATGTGACGGCCGTCTTTCTTGTTCTCGGTGTCAGATCCCACGAAAAAGGAGGCAACATCTACTTCAGCAGAATACTTTGTCGCATGATCCATCTGCTTCTTTTCAGACCTTTCTAGGGACACAATGTTTCGTGACACTTTTATAGAGACCTTTAAAGTGAGAGGGCCGTCTTTATTAGAACTTCGTATGAAATGGGACATCGCAGCTTCTCGTCTGTTGACGCCCACACCACTGTGGAAGCAAGGATTCGTTGATGAGAATTAGATCGGACCGTTGCTTTGATGGTTAAGACGGAAGGTCAGCGAAGATCTAAGGAATGTTTCGGTGCTTCTCTTTACTTCTTAGTCCAAAAGCCTCTCAAAATTCCAGATATTGCACTGTAATAGAGCTTTCAGACGAGTTCTTCCCAGTTATTTCCAATGGCTAGCATGAAAGAAGTTTCAAATTCCCCGTTCACGGTTCTTGATATTAATCTCAGTACTTAAAGTCGAAATGGCTCCCAGTGCAAGCCCACTTCCGAACCAAATCAAGCGAGATGGCTAACAACACTCCACCCAACGCTCTGACTGGCGGAGAAGGAGACAACTACAACAACTCGGATTCCCAAAAAGAAACTCTAACCAAACCCAAAACCGGCACGGGAAATCCGAACAACTTTTGCCAGCCAGACCATACCGAGAACGACGCACTTAATAGTCAAAATCAAAATGACCAAGAAGAAAAGAACCCCAGCAACTCATTCCTCACTTACAATAATGCACCCACAATTGAACCCAACGAAGAAGAAACACCAAAATTCAACTCCAACCCCAACCGTGCAGATCCTCCTCCTCAGGTCACAAGTGGCAGCGGACCTCCACTTGCTGCGTTGAGCTTTGGGCTAACACAAAATCTTCATGAGGTATTGACGACGCAGTTGCCGGGAATTCCTCCACCCGATATGGCTTCTGCGGTTGGATCGAATACTTTGGAAGGAGTTGGGGCACATTTTGAGCAAGGGGATGAGAGACCAGAGAATCTTGAGAGTGGACTGTATGAAGAGGGAGTAGCGGACGACACACAAGAGTCTCGACAGAATAGCGGCAGTGGAGAGGATGGAGCGGGTGAACTGGACGACACACCGGATGTTCGAGGTAGCAGAGGACATCGAAATCACAGGCTTGAAGGGGAGGCTGCACTCCTCAGCACTGACCGTGTACTAATGGAACCACTTGCACTTATTCTCCTTAATCGCCATTTCCGCGAAGAAGATGAACGGCAAGCGGAAATAGCTTCTGCTGTAGATCGAAACAATGGAGAGTCGGCTGCCAACAGGTCTTCGAGTGGAGAAAGTGAAGAGGGAAACCAGGATGGACACGGTGAGGGAGATGGGGATGAAGATGAAGATGGAGACTATCAAGAAGACACAGGGCACACAAAGTCAGACGACACCAAAGAAGCAGAGAATACTGGGGATGGCGATGATAGTGGGGATGAAGATGATAATGGAGATGATGACGGTGTAGGGAATGGTGATGATGCTGGGGGTGAAGATGACACAATCGACAACACCAACGTCAACTCCGGCGACTCATCTGGCACCCAACCTCCTCCGGAAGACTATCTGTTACCAGAGCTTGAGTCAGCTGCCCTAGCTTCACAAAACATAATTGCGTCCATTTCTGACTCGAGTCCAAGCCACTTGCCAGCTTCTACGTCCCCAGAAGATGCCGTACCTCCTTCTGCAGAAAACGCCTCGGCAGATCACCCAGCAAGCAGTTCAACAGATGATAGATCTTCATTTACTCCGCCATCCGGCTTTGCAGGTGCTCATAACCCTTCTCAGTCATCAGCAAATGCGCCCGGCCCGCCGTCTTCAGGAAACACCTCAGCCGGTCCATCAGGAAGTAGTTCAACAATGTCTGAATCGCAACCTGCTCAATACCAACCTACTTCTCCTTTCGCCCCTTGTCTAGCAACACCAACCGAAGACCCACTCTGGGTTCCAAACCCTAACGACTTCGGCATCAACAGACGGCGCTGTCCGATGTGTGTATGCAGGGCGAGGAGTTATATTGGTGCTTGTGCCGGCGGACCACCTTGTGATGCATGTGCGAGAATAGGATATACTGCTGAGCAGTGTCAGAGTGGAGAGGATGGGGAATATGGAGGTGGTAGACATGAGCGGCCTGGTAGGAAGGGACGGAAGTAGGGGGTTTGTGGCTTTGACGGGGCGGTATTTGGGTGGAAGAGTGTTGCTTGATGTTATGAGATTTTTGAACCAGATTGAAGTTTAGAGGAAACGTTATGAGATAGCGACGGGTTCATAGAGAAACATTGTCGCTAGATTACTTGATGTTTTGGCATTTGATTCGCGTGGAATTGGGTTTAGATCAGTTGAACACTTCAACACCATGACTTCGTTTCTGCAGAATTTAAGTATCTCACCTCATCTGCCACTTGCAAAAGTGTAATTTCTTGCAACTTTGAACAGCTCTGGCCAAGTTATTAGTTGATGTTTCGTAAGGAGGTTGACTCGAGCATACCCCCTATTTAAGCGAGATCAGAGACGACCTCGTAAACAAGAGCAACTCAGATCTTAAAGCGCATCAATGTCTTGATTCAAAGCAGCTCTTTTGGAATTCAAGTATCTTAAATATCCCGGAATGATTCCGTCCTTGCGATATCGGTAATCGATAAGTCAAGGACAATATGTGAATCCCTATGCCGATGACGCTACTAAGCGAAGCACGGAAAGGGGGGAAAGCGGCACTAAGAGTAAATAAAATTTCCCGACGCGGTCGCGACGCACTCATAAACCTCTATTTGGCTTCTACAACATCATCTTTCCATCTATTCGACACCTTTGCACCAAAGAGCTTCTCTTTGAGCGGTACGTGGTCCAATGTCCAATAGCTCCTGGACATTCTACTAGCAATGTCCAAGATCTCTGGAACAAGCTGCACTGAAAGAAGCATGCTGACTCCATCCTTGCCAACTAGGAATTGCCAAAATGCCTTTCATCAAGCGCAAGATCTGCGAGAAGGCCAAGACCAAGAAAGACACTGTACCCGTTGACTGGGAGAACGGCGAACTTAAACAACGCTACCTCGATCTCCTCCCTGATATCTCTCCACAGGAAACCGCCTATGGCAAATGGCTCATTACCCACATTCTTGAACGTCCATGGGCTGAACTCACGTTCCTCGAGCGTGCGCAATGGGCTGAGGTCTACTTTGACTTGGAGAAGAAGGGCCTGCGTTATGAGGATAATGGCAATGATGATAATGAGGACGAGTCTGCAGAGGTGCTGTCCTGGGCTGACTACAAGATCATGTACAAGGAAATCTTGGTTCCTGAGAAGGAGAAGAAGAAGAAGATGAAGAAGAAAAAGAGGCTGCCGCTTTATGACGATAATGGCAGATTCATTGGATGGTATATTCCCAAGACGGACGAGGAATTTCTGGAGAAGCTAAAGCATGTTGGTTCCGCCTTGGGTGTTAAGAAGGAAAAGCCAAAGGTTAAGAAAGTTGATGCAGGCAAGATGGTTATCGGTCCGCAGCTGAAGGAGATGAAGACCCTAGTCCCAAAGCCGCAACCGCAACCGACTTACAACCAGTTCGCTCCAGCCCAGCAGAGCTTCTCCCAGCAACCGATCTCCCCCCAGCAACAGATCTCTCCTCAGCAACCGACCTTCCCAGGCAGCCAACCGACAAATTCCCAGTTCAAGCAGATTACAATGGAGGCTGCTAGGAAACTTGAGAAATCTGCTAAAGCTGGTAGTGGTACATATCAGAGTCCGTACACTGGTAAGTAAATGTGCAACAACTCATGGGATTCTAGAGACTAACTTCGGGATAGCGCACCGCTATGCAAGCTTGGGTGGACCGAAGCAGGGTGAAGAGAAGTCATTCAAGTCCCCATATGCTTTGTGATCTGGTGGATTGTCCTGGGGTTGGATGGACATTGGGAAGCCGTTTGTTTGTAGGATACTGAGATCAGAGAATAAAAGATGCTTTGCCATTCAAGTTTCCCTTCTCTGCTAGTGATTATGTACAGTGTGACTGGTCTCGAGGCGGACACGAAGTGCCACACTTAGATTAATATCGACTAAAAGAATATTGAAAGGTAAATGTCCAACATCAACTAAGAACATCGAAATGAGTACCGCTCTTTCTTTCCATCCACCTCCAGGCGGTTCCATGCATAAAGATTGAAGACAAAAGAGAACAAAGAGCTTCCCTTTCAGCAAGCAGTAGAGAAAGGATTCTACATCCGTATGGCAAGACGCCGTCGCTCCCATCCAGCGCTCCGTAAAGGGCAGCCTGACTTCCGCACGTCTCCGTATCCGTAAAAGAAGACGAGACGTCCACTCTAACAATGGCGTCCATACAACGAATCTTTGACGGCTCAGCGTGTATTTCAACGCCGTCTCCTCCCACGCCCCGATCCAGTGCAGCTCAACTCTGCTCTCCCACCCGCTGCAGCGCATCTCTCAACACCGGGCAACGCCATACCCAGTCAGCATGAAGCGCACGGCCTCCCTTGCCTCCCTCGCCACTTCGGAACAAGAAGCAAAACGCCTCCACTTCCCGCGAATGCAACTCGAAGCCCTGGCCCAGGTAGCGCTGCGAGAAGGACTGTCGAAAGAGCAAGTCGCGTACGAGCAGTGGGTTGATACGCAGCCTATTGAGAGCGTGATGGCTTGGGATGAGATGGGGGTGGGAGAGAGGACGGCTTGGATTGTTGAGTATATGGAGAGTTGTGGTGGGGAGGGAGATGGTGAGTTGGAGGTCGGAAAAGGGAGCGATGACACAGCAAGGGCAAGCGAAGTGCAGAGGGTTGAGGAAGAACAGACGACTGTGGAGCATGCAAGTGTGGAAGAAAGAAGAGAGGAGGCTATGGGTGATTTGGGGGAGGAGTCAAGGTGGAGGGCGGTTAGGACTGCTGGGAGGGAAGACATTCTTTCTCATGCTGAGGCGATGGTCGTTGTTGAGCAGGAAGAAAGTTCACCCATCTTACCTGGTATGTTTTTCTGTTCTCGCTCAAAAGGGAACATTCGTTCCAAGTGGAAGACTTCCGCCTCTGATTTGGGATATTGTACCGTGCAACCTCGCTTGGGACTTTCATCACTGACGATTTCACAGGAGAGCCCTCAGCTGCAGAGGAACCTTCAACCACTACAGAACCAACACCAACTCCCGAACCTCACCGACCATTCCGAGCCAGCGCTCGTGTATGGACAGCCACCGCGCACGAAGAGAGCTCAATCAAGAACAAACCCCAATGTCCGCCCTGTGCCCGGCTGAAGCGCACCTGGACGCGGTGCCGCGGCGGCCCGCCTTGCATCGAGTGCCAGCACCGAGGACTCTCGGCCGAGCAATGCCAGAGCTACGATCTCTTGAACCGGTCTCGGAAGAATAGACTGAAGAAGAAAGACGAGGCGTGCAAGAAAATGGATACGGAGTTAGGGATACAATGTGGAAGTGAGGGAGAAAAGGAGGAGAAATCTGCAGAGGATGTGATAGATGGAAGAGAGAGGGAAGAGGGTACGGGTGAAGTCACTGGAGAGAAGGAGGGTGGGGGAAGTTTGGATACTGAAGAGGTGGCACAGTGAGGCTATTGGAAAGAAAGGGGAGATTTCTGGATACTGGAGTAAGAGGCACAGTGGGAAATTAGTAATTGAGGCCCGGAATCACCGGAGAAGCGCTCGACGAGGCCGTGCAGAAAACTTTTCTTTTGTAGCTTGTTATCCTCACACTTCTGAGCCTTTGATCTGATTAGAAGAGTACGTAGCATGAACTTCTTGAATACGATGGCATGAACCGCTATGATGACTTGACGTGAAGGATATGAGCCAGGCAGTCGTCAAAATCGCATTGTGTATCCAATGCTGGTTAAGTTGCGCCATCTCGCATGCGCGGCGCTGACGGAGCGATATCTTGGCTGGCAATCTTATGACTCAGCCTGCGGGGTTGCGAAAAGGGGAACATAGCCTTCGTTCAAGTGTTTCGTGTTGTAGCTCCCGGCCTGGTAGAACTTTGTTCCTAGTGGGGCCGTGTTTTTGGGAAGGGGGGGCATAGCCTCGTGTTTGAGGGCCGCTCTGCCGGACGGTGTAACATTCTTCCTGGTGTCGTCATGGAAAGGGGGGGTGTGCCTCGCGTTGACATCCGCGCTGCCGGACTTAGTGTAACTTGGTTCCTGCAGCCTTTTACGAGGCATCCTATTAAATTGAAACGGCCGCGAGGAACCGTATTGTTTGGCTGGAAGAGGTGTGCTACAGTCTTGGCGAGCTGTCAACTCCTCACCAATGTTGATATAAGGTTGGTGGGGCCATAAAGGTTGCACAGCCGAGATGTGAGATATCCGGAGTTACTCGGCCCCAGACACACATTTGTAGAAAGGGCCGAAGAGGAGTCAAGTGACGTGGACCTCGTAAACCAACAGATTCGCGTCATCATTATTGGAGGAGTGTTTCAGATTCTTCGGCAAGGAGGTTCGGGAGGTTGAAACTTTCCGCAGCCCGCCCACATGCGTTAATCCCCCTCGTGGCAAGTGGGTCCCGGATCATTCCCCAGAGTTTGATCGAGCTCTTGGAGGCTAAGTGATTTGCGTTGCGAGAGATGACAAGCAAGGGAGAGGCATGTCAATCCCTGTCTCTTATTTCCTCTTGCCAGGAACGGGCTACTGGAAGAGAGAAATTGCGGTCATGCCAGGTGAAAACCAGGTAAGAACCATTGCTTGCAGAAACCCTTGCGCTATATCAGAATGAAATGAGGCCGTATGCTTCTCGAACACTGCCACACTTGGAAATTCGTGTCTGGATGGGGATGTGGTAGGGGTTTTGGCCGGTTGGCGTCCAGTTTGAGATGCCAAGCCATCAAAGATCTGAGCGGGGCATGAAACACTGAAACGTCTCTTATGCAACAACAAATTGTTCGATTTTCAGAATTGGGAAGAACGCATTGATTGATAGGCAGATTTTGGATGATAGAAAGCGCACGGGCGTCGCCCGCGGCCCAGCTCGCCGACTCCAGGTTTTGGTAAGGTTGGCAAGCAGGACGGGCATTGGTAAAAGGGTTGTCGTACGTCTAAATCTGGTGAGATCGGGAAACAAGACTTCGAGAAGCTCAGCAACGTGGGGAAGCCTGTCTAGCAGTCATCTCCCGAGTCCAGCATTCCATCCTACGATGACTTCCAAACCTCTTCAACCTCTTGAAACAGCAGCTGCGTAGCTTTTGTTGTCGTCCAACATTTCCAACAGTGCGTGATGCAGCTGGTACCTCCCCTTCTGACGGTCTGTTGGGGAAGGCACTTTTGAACAAACAAAAAAGGCTCTTAAGCTCCACGTGATGGAGAGAAAGATAAAGGGACCAGGCGCTGGGACCGAATTGCTGGCACGTGGGCCAGGGATGTTGGAGGGCAGATGGCCTCGATAGAGAAACCTTCATTCGGGTAAGGCTGGACGTGGGGCGGCGGCTTTCAAGATTCGATGTCAAGATACGCAGGAACCAGCGAAAATGATTGGTGATCTTCACGACGTGCTTCCGCCCCCACTGGTGGCACTTCGTGTGGACACTGGGGCGTGCGGCGCGCCCACTCGCACGCTTCCTTCCCCGCCAACCTTACTGGGACTGCAGATGCATCCGTTTTTGTCGACTGCATTTGCGTTTTGCATTCTTTGGATTCCAGATCTTGGACGGCCTGTGGTTCGAAGTACGGAGGATGCATGTATCACTGTTGCACTGCCCGCACTCACCGCAACGCGGCATCCGTTCGCCCGTAGGCCGCTCCAGGCGTGCCAGAGACGGCTTCGGCTTCCTCAACGGGGGCGCTTTGTCGCTACTGTACATCCAGCGGACTGGGCGTTGGATCTGTGTGGTCGAGCGGCCGAGCCACTCCGGTTGCCGCATGATTCGGCGCTGGCACGAGTGGCATCGAAACCCTTCGAGCGAGTGGGAGGCGGGTTTTGTTTGAAGTTCCGGGACTTCGGTACAGATCGCCGGAAAAGGAGCAGCCAGCAACAGCCAGCAGCAGCCAGCAGCAAAGGTGCGCGATGTGCGCTAGGCAAGCAGAGGGAGGGGCGTTCGTCGACCCTGCGGCCAATCGCATGCCCCACTTCCCTCGCTTAGGACCTGCTGCATTCCAGGCAGAGGCTGGGCGAGGCGGCGCTCACGCGGTCCCCCCTGTGACTGGTCGAAGGGCGGCGAGGCTTGGAGCAGCTGAGGAGGCTGGCGACTCACATCGTATCCTTCGTTCATGCTCACTCACTCTCGCTCTCACTCTCACTCCCACTCCTCGCTCTCCCACCATCAGCTCCACACCAACCCAGCACCAGCACCAGCACCAGCTCGCTGCCAAGCCGCCCGCCCTTCACCGTCCAACACGTGAGAGAAACCCCCCCCCCCCCCTGCTCTTGCAATACATTTCGCCCTCCTCACTCTGGCCCACGACCCAATAACTATCCGGGGCGCAGTACGGCTCCGTATCCAGCTTTGGATCCGCTCTGTCTGGCCTGGGAGCACGCTGTGAGGGGAACATCCCATCCACGCCCCCGAACCTGGCAGGCAGGGTCCACAAGCGTCGCATCATGTATGGCCTATGTTTGGAGCAGTTTGCTGGTAACCCTCCCCACTGGACTCACATGTGGCCAGGGGTCGCTCATTTAGCCAGATTGATCCCATGCGCTCAACCACACCGTCCAGTTTACCCATAAAGCATCGAAGCGCAATTCTCGATGGTGGCAGAGTCAGTTCGTTCCTCTTCCAAGGTTGAACACTCCCACCGTCATGGGCAATACCTGAATTCGACGCTCTCCGGCGGCGTACGGAAAGCGATCCTACTGACGAGCGAGCGCGGCGTCCATAATATGCTACAAAAGGCCATTTGACCCACCCGAATCCCAGAGCAAATGCCACGAGGTTGAACACTGCGAGTCCGGAAGAAAATCTAACTCACCTTAACCTTCCTCCCCAGGTCCCGACAACTCTTGATGTCGATTCTATATTGGCTCAACCACAAGAACGATGGCGCTGCGGCATCCATATCCAAACGTTTATAAGTTCTTCAACCAATTCGCAGCTCCAGACCAGGCTTCGCCAGAACAGTCGTCCAGAAGTCAAGGGCTCCGGAAGAGTGGGCCTCGGTCCAAAACCGGTTGCTCGACATGCAAGTGAGCCAACCTCACGCCGTCGAAGGACGCGCCGGCGACCTTCACCAGACTTTTTAATGATCACGTTTGCTAACACCGCACAGACAACGGCGTGTTAAGTGCGACGAAACAAAACCGGGGTGTGTAAGATGTCAAAATCTCGGTCGGGAATGCGGAGGGTACGCTCCTGAAGCGCTGGACGATTCATCGAAGAATGTCGCCCCAGTGCCTATCCATCCTCGGCCGATGTCTGTCATGTCATATGCTCCCTCTGTCGCTATTCCAGGCACTCAAGATGAACGTCGCTATTTCCAGCTCTTTTGTGACAAGACTGCAGCGGAGATCTGCGGGTCATTTGACCCCTCCTTTTGGACCGAGAAGGTCCTCCAACTATGCCATTCGGATGCCCCGATCAGACATGCTACGATAGCATTAGGAGCTCTCTCAAAATCACTCGATGTCACCTCCTTTCCGACCCGATTGTCCCTCTCCGGATTCCCGCAGATTGACCTCTCTCATTTAGACGAACACCACAGATATGCTTTACGGCAGTACAGTAGAGCCATCGCTGAACTAAGACGGATTCTTTCCGACGGACGGCGACATCTGAGGACCTCGCTCACGTCGTGTGTATTGTTCATGACCTTTGAAGCCCTTCAAGGATGTTACGATGGTGCATTGACTCATCTTCGTGGTGGATCGAGACTGCTGGCCGACTGGAGAACGGCGCGGCGAGGGCAAAGCTCGCGACTTTCACAGGATTCATTATCAGAAATCCAGGATGGATTGATCGATGATCTCGGAAGGATGTTTGCCCGGCTTGACGTTCAGGGTCTTTTCGTTCCGCCACCATTCCCGATGCCGGAATCTGACTGGGAGGATGTCGTTGTTCCCGAATCATTCGACAGCCTCCAAGAAGCGAGAGAATCGTGGGATTTCTTGATGCAAGGGATCGGGCAATTCTATCGAAAATCAGTCGCTCATTCGATACAACATCCGGAAAGGCTCACCATGCCATTTTGGTTACACCAGCACAAGCATTACTCCACGCAACTAGACAACTGGCGTTCAGCGTTCCAGGGAATATTCGCACAAGAATTACGCTCCGGCGCAGTCATGGCAGATTCGTCGGACATGCTCAGCATATATTTCAATGTTGCCACCGTTCTCCTCGCCTCCAGTCTCGAGCATACAGAAATGCTCTATGACGAGTACACGGCACTGTTTTCTGAAATTGTTACAAAAGCGCATCAACTCATTCAAAGCTCCGAAGACCCAAGCAATTCCTCACGCTTTACTCTGGACATGGGAACCATTCTCCCATTGATGGTCACGGCAACAAAATGCCGAGACAGACGGATACGAAGGCAGGCAATTGCACTTCTATGGTCCAAGGCACGCCGAGAAGGGCTCTGCTACGACACCATTACCGTTGCACGTCTCTGCGCTTGGCTATCAAGTATCGAAGGAGACGGCGTACAGGAAGACTCGGAACCAATACCAGAAGCAAAGCGGTACTGGATCAGCTACATGCATCTCAGCTCGGAAGAACACTGGCTGGCGGTGCAGTTGACATCAGCCACGACGAACGACAACGGAGAGCACACATTTAGGGAAACGACATTTTCTTGGTAAAGGGCACGCAATCATAGGAGCGACGGAGTTTTTAGGAAATGGGGAAACATGGAGCAAGGGCATGGCGAATTGGTACAGCACAACACAACCTTGAGACAAGGGGCATGATGCCGACTCGTTCGTGCGTGGATTCTCTCGCGAAAGGAACAAAGACATGAAGAGTGATGCATCAGAGCACGTTTCTCATAGTTGTTGTCCAAGGTGCGAATAATGTAATACAGTGGATTCCGATGCAATTTTCGCCCTCTACCAGGGTTGATTCATGCAAGAGCTATCACCATTTTACATTGTTCTACCGACGAGATGGGAAACGGAACACAGACAAGGCAGCCACCTGGAGTTGGTTGATTGATTGATGGGTTCGGGACGGATTGATTTGGAATATACCCGGATTGGGAGGGGGTTCTTGTTCCGCCTTGGGGTCTACAAGGTACACGGTCGCGGCCGCTGGGAGAGGAGGCGTGAGACACGGAGCACTGGCGTCGGGGGTTGTAAAAATATGCGAATATCTGATGGATATTCAGATAAACGATTTCGTACTTTGAGAATATACTTCCTCAGCTCTAACTTCAAAGCGTTAAGAAGATGCATGTGAAAGTTCAGTCCAGAAAATGCGTGACTTTTCGAAGCGGGGTTGACACGTGATTGCCCCTCCAAAGTTTTCATGCCTGAGATAAGAGAACTCAACGCTAACCCGAATCAGGCTTCGGGCCACTCGGTTAGAGTCCCGCACACAATGGCCGAAATTCTTCATTTTTGCGACATTGAATTTCGAACTTCCATAGCCAACCGCCCAACGCTCTCCGAACTGACACCCTCACACCCGCTCAATTCGAATCACCATGGCTGACGCACCCAGAGGCGGAGCTGCTGCTCGTGGAGGTGGATTTGGCTCGCGAGGCGACCGTGGAGGAGACCGTGGTGATCGAGGCCGTGGACGTGGAAGACGTGGACCTCGTCGCGGTGCGAACAAGAACGAGGAGAAGGAGTGGCAGCCAGTTACCAAACTTGGCCGCCTTGTCAAGGATGGAAAGATCAAGTCGATGGAGGAGATCTACCTGCACTCTCTGCCCATCAAGGAGTACCAGATCGTCGACTTCTTCCTGCCCAAGTTGAAGGATGAGGTTATGAAGGTATGAAAATCCCAGTCGTGGAGGCAGACGCAGAATTCGAGACCAGGCGGCTGACAATTCTATCAATTACAGATCAAGCCCGTCCAAAAGCAAACTCGTGCCGGTCAACGTACTCGATTCAAGGCCATCGTTGTTATTGGTGATTCTGAGGGACACGTTGGTCTTGGTATCAAGACATCGAAGGAAGTCGCAACTGCCATCCGTGCCGCTATCATCATCGCCAAGTTGAGCGTTCTGCCGATCCGAAGAGGTTACTGGGGTACAAACTTGGGTCTTCCTCACTCTCTGCCAACGAAGGAGTCCGGCAAGTGCGGTTCCGTCTCTGTTCGTGTAAGTAAACCCCGAGCTCGAAAGTTGAGGTGAAAACTGACAGTCCCAGCTCATTCCCGCTCCCCGTGGTACCGGTCTCGTCGCATCACCCGCCGTCAAGCGTCTTCTCCAACTTGCCGGTGTCGATGACATCTACACATCCTCTTCCGGTTCCACTAAGACCCTTGAGAACACCCTCAAGGCCACCTTCGTCGCTGTCGGCAACACATACGGTTACTTGACCCCCAACCTGTGGAAGGAGACCAAGCTTATCCGGAGTCCTTTAGAGGAGTTTGGTGATGTTCTCCGAGCTGGCAAGCGATACTAGATGGTGGGATCTGGATCGGACTTGCGTCAGGTTGTTTTATTTGCACAATGGTGTTTAGCATGGAGACAAGCTGGGTTCAGTAGCTACGTCTGATGAATTGCAGCCTTCCGACCATTGAGGTTCTCAAATGTGATGGATTGATGTGAACTGAATTTGGAAAGAGCCGGGGGCTAGCGAGGTTTTGGCCATTCCCCAACTGCAGGTAAGATTGGCCTCTCCCAGAGTTGGAAGGAGCCACCTGAGCGTAACGTCTTTATTTTGACAAGTGTTTCCGATTTCTCTCATCATCCTCCATTTTGCCTCCTTTTGGAATCCCCGGCAATTTCCATCCAGTCCCAGACCTTCCCTTGCCTTCATTGCCTCCAAACCCGTTTTGGACGCATCATGCCTTTCCCACGTCGTCTTAGTGGCCGTTTAATTGCCATCCTCAGTCTAATAGTACTTTCAGTCTTTGCCATTGTCTCGATTGGAGAGGGGTTCAAGGCTGTTCTCGTCCGAAGAGACGTTGACAAGCTGGAGAGAAGAGATGGTTCACCAACAGTCACCCTGAATATGCCATGGGAGTGAGTTAAATTGATGAGGAGGATGGGAAAGCTCAAGCTAACAAGATGAATAGGCCTGTCCACGCCCCAACCCGGCCAGAGATCAAAGGATTCAAGGACGTATCTCAAGACGTGGAGAATAGTCTGATCGGAGATATTGCGGCCGTTGCTTCAGCAATACTTGGCGGAGGCAGCGAGGTTGCGAATGCTGCATCAGCAGGAGCCGCTGAGCTGCAGGCTACTCCGCTCCCAGCCAGTGCTTCGGTTTTGGGCGATGGAACCGCAAGCCAGTCAAGTCTTCTGCGAGAGGTAAACGGCCAAATACAGCAGGCTACAAGTATTGTAGGACAAATCTTTGGGGACGCGACCAGCATCGTCGGAAGCATCCTGGCTGCAGCAACAGCCCCATCCAATATTGGGGTCCTTCCTGTTGCCAACTCCAACTCTTCAATGAACGGGGCGGCATTCTCCTCGGGCAACTTGATGCCCTCCAACGGTTCTCTTCCGACATTTCCGCCCAACACAACGATTTTTGCTTCTCCGTGTCCTTCTCCAGCAATTGCGCCAGCTATGGCAGAGCTCACGCAGTCTCCAACGACACCGCCTTGTCCAACTACAATCACCGAAATTTGCACGGTCACTGAAACCTGGCATAGCACGCATTATGCTGAGACGGCAACATTCTACAGCTTTGTAGCAAATACCACCATCACATATACAGAAAAATCCAGGTATGGCATCAAAAAGACTAGTGTACCATTCACTGACATTTTCGCATCAGCTGTCCTCCTCTTGTTTACCTTCCAGACCCTACTGCCACGGTTCCACCACATCGAAGTTTGATCGCATGTGCAAATGGGGCACTAGCAAAACGCCAGGAGGACTGTCCCTATAAGTTGAACGCAACCTCTTCCCACTCTCTCAACGCCTCCGGATCAGCTTCGGACCAGGGGATCTCTCCAACTTCAACTCACCCATGCCCGAATGCTGGGTACTCATGCGCAGAATGTCCCGACGGCTGGTTCTGTCCTCCTCATCCAACGCCTGCACAGAACTGCATCTGTGGCTTCGGCTGGGCGTGTGCCAACTGCAAGGATGGTTATTTCTGCATTCCCAGCCCTACGCCTGCCGGGAATGGATTGATGAATACCGTTGCAACGCTTCTTGCTACTCCTCCACCATCTTCAACGTTTTCGAATATGGGAAGCATCACCACGAATCCGCCGACTCTTATGTCTCTTGGCTCCATGGTATCTATGACTACAGGGACAGTTACCTGCATTGATGGTTCCATCGTCATGATGGCTAATGAATGTCTGAACGGGCTTCGCACCACTACTAATACTATCGATATCACCATCATTAACATGCCTATGGCTGCTAATGCCGCAGCCGCGGCCAGCATCAATGATCTCGCGGGACGTGTTTTCAGTACAGCAAAAGCAGTTTCCTCGCCCCTCCTAGGCAATGCTCAGCCTACTACTGCTGGTCTCGGAAATATAGCTGCAATTGCTCTCCCCACTGCGAATCCAAACCTCCTTCCAACCACCACCGCAGCTCAAGGCAATATACCGAACAACATTCCGAAACACGCATCCAATGCGGCAGAAAATGTGTTCAACCAGCTTATGAGCGGTGCAACAACGAACTCACCAGTGTTGATGGCTCCTGCTAGTCAGCTACCTCCGTTACCTCCGGCTCTGGGCATTGCGAGGGGACGGAGAAGAATTTAGGAGATGAGAAGCGTGTAAGAAGGATATCAAAGAGTATGATCAATACGTCAAATTTGTGACGCAAAGTATTACAACGGTTTATTTATATGTTAGAAAGGGCAATGCTCAGGTTTTTGGTGGAGATAGGGTGGGGATTTGTAGTCATTGACTGACAGACAGATGATAAATACAGTTATTTATGAATGGTTACTGTTTGCGAGTGGCTTTGAAGTACCTACTAGCTCAGCAGTGATGAGATATTTAAGACGAGAGATGTGAAGTTTGCCTGACTAGGAAGGGCAAAGTTGTTCCTCACACTTCCACCATTTATCTGCAAAGTATATTGCGTGATCTGGTATGGGTGATGGGTATTTAAGAGACTCCTCAAGCTTACGTCTTGGGATCTTTGTCAAGGGGTATAATCGAAATGGAACTACACATGATGGGATGCTGAGGGTAGGGTAAAGGCAAAGTACCAGCGACAGATGACTCCTGGTGAGATCCCTCGAGGTTGAACTTATGAGCTCCGAGGCTTTTCTTCTGGGTGTACACAGTGAGATCTACTTCCCAGATATCGGGAAAGAGCCCACTTAGGAAGGCGCGTAGGACTGGCGAAGATTGCCATTCCCAAGGCGCGGATTCCGATAACATGAGTCTCACCAAAACCAAACCTACCTTCAGTACCAAAGAGATTGCACCCTCGCGAATGCCCCAGTACCGCAGAGTACACAACTTCTCAAATAGCGGGTCCGAGGCGTAGATTAACAGCAAGTGTACTGCTGACAGTATATTTGGTGCGAAATGTAGTCCGGAGGGTGGGCAGAAGGTTGCCCGTCTCTTGCTGAATCCCATTTCCTCGGGTACTACATCTCGACTAAAGTTTGCTCAATGACAGATCCCTCTTTATCTAGGCGCTGCTCTAACACGAAGGCAACTTCGTTGATTCTCTTTCTTAATTTGAATCCTAAATTGTACAGTACATTTTGGCGCGGTGGCAAGGGGGCGAGGAGAAAGGATAAAGAGAGAATGGCACGAGTGTGCTGTGGGAATCTGTGCGGCTTGGCCTTCCCTCTACTCTCTGGCTCTTTGGCCTAGTTTAGTTGAGTTCAGCGGGAATTCCACGCCTCCTTTTCCATATTCAAGACGTTGGCTTTGGCGGAGTGTGTCTGTCTTCTTCTGTTTTATATCTACTACAGCCATGTTGTAATATTAAGACTCGAATACTTCTAATCTCACGGAAAGGTAAAGGAGAGCAGGAGCAAGTTGTGCGCTGTCGTGTGCAAGACATGAGCTGTGAGGTATTTAAGAGGGCGTCGAGCTTCAGTTTTCGGGATCCTTAGCAACCAAGACAATCAAGCCGAACTATAACCCGGTCCGGTGGAAGGTTCTGGAGGGTATTATGAGGGATTTTCCCAGGGGAGTGAACAGGAGAGGTTGAGGGTGAGGCTATGACGGTTGACCTCTCTTTACTTGAAGCAAGTCCTGTGAAGTTCTCACACATGGGGGGAGCTTTCCACCTTGACAGCAAAAGTATCGCTGGCAGCAAAATGTCGGGTGAAATAATGGGACGGGCCAAATGTCTGTAGAGTACTAGGAACGGAGCAGGGAGAACGCCAGAATCGCTAAGTGCAGGCATGGGATCATGCCGTTGCTGAACTCCCGGGCATGTACCCTGGAATTTTCTCATACGAGGACTGATTCTGACAAACGCACTCCTGCAGTGGTATTTATATGGCCTCAACAACTTCTGTTCCATATACTTCTGATATTCTATTATAAGTATAATGGAAGGTCATATAGCAGGAAACCAGGAATTCTCCTGTATCGAGTCAAGCATGCTTCTTGGAAAGTGAAGTATTACGGCTTTGATCTCCTCACTACAATGGGCAATGTACTCACTGCGTATATTTAAAAAAAGATTCGAGTCCACTTTTCGATGTGTCTACCAAAAACAGCACCAAACCCCAGAAGAATGAAACGGTGGATCTGGCCACCTTGTGCGTCGTTGAAGGCGACTATGAGGGCGAATTTCAGAGGGGCCAAGACGGACGGTTAGGGTTACGAGCAGAATACCTCTTCTTGAAGCACGTGTACGAGATTCTCAAATAAGGAGTTCAAGGCGTTGACAGCAAGTGTTGGTTTGACAGCAATTCTGTCAGGTCCATGGCCTGGTGGGGGTTTTGGAAGAGGTATACTAGAGGGGGTGCGAGGAAATAAGAGGCGAGAAGGAGAGGTAGATCCTGTGAAATTCACGCGATAAGGCACTCCTTTTATCGATCTTCTCTCTCCTATTTCTTCCTATTTGGTGCATATGTCCCGAAATTTGTAATGATTTATCAACGTGCGCTCATTTCAAAAGCTCTTGATGTATGGTTGTCTTTTGCTATTCTGTCTTCTCCGGCAAGATGTCTGGAAGAATGCTAATATAAAAAGAATAAGAGGGGAACTTGAGAGATTTGAAATTTGAAGAGGACATTGTTGTTCCCAGCGGGAAGGGGATGGTGGCCATATAGAGGATGATTTTGTTATGGCGCCGGATAGTGTGTAGCCCAGTACGAGGAATGGAAACAAATGATACAATGGAACCTTGGCAGCAGTCACTCACTTCCGTTATATGTATCTACACACTGCTAACTCGTGCCTTCATCTCTATGAATTTCACTATGAAATCATCTCTGGTCCAAGAGAGCCATGCTGCCGTGTTCATCTCAGGATATTTATATATTTTCCATTATCCAGATATCCGGAAAGCGTACTCTTACAGGGTAACCTCAGTCTCAGAAATGGCAATGGGCATCTCAAAGAATGTTAGTCGGACTTTCCTTCCATCTATATACACAGCGCAAAGGTCCGACTTCACCATATCCTTCCTCCTTCATGAGCCATCGGGAGATCCCTCACATCAGCGCCATGAACGCAACTCCAATCACCGCAAATACCCCACTACTGATCTGCAATTGTATGCCCGCACCAGGAAACGGTAATATTGTTGCGGAGCCAGTTGGACTCGGCGATGTCGATGTCGATGTCGTTTTCGAGGTACCATTGCCAGTCACGTTGAGATTCAGACAGATCTGCTTTACTAGGGTTCCGAATGCTGGTTCTCTTATCAGCAATCCTGCTCAATAAGGAGGAGAATGGAAGGAATTTGAAGGACGAAATTGGGGAAAAGGGTAACATACTTGCTAAATCAGAACTCGTGCAAGTTGACGAATTCTGCAGACAAGGAACGACGATAGATTGCAATTGGGTGCTGTGCGCACAGTGGCAGGCATAGTCGGTTTCCCCACAGCCAACGGAGGCTATTGCTGCTTTATCACAGGGTTCCTGAGCGTTGTCAGAGAAATGGGCTTTGGGGCGGGAGAAGCGGGCAACGTACGACACAGGGGGGAAGCTGAGCAGCGAGTTGAGCATCAGTTTCTTGGGAGAGGTCTTGAGCTGCTATTAAGGTAATTGCTGAGAGAACATGGAAAAATATTGAGGAACGCATCTTGAACGAATGTACTGTATTTTGCAAGTAAAGAAAGAGTGATTGGGAAAATTTCTGTACTTGCTGAATTCAAGGGCCCTTGTAGTATTTATGCGGTCAAGGCTCGGATCTCTCGGCAGTCACCCTGCAGCTAATGCAAGGAACGAGCCTCCTTCAGTGGATTCAAGACATTACAGAGATTGTTAATTTGGTCCAGGGTCGATGTCGACGCGTGGGTAAACTCCTGATTCGCCGGATAATCCCCATTTCGGAGTCCGGCCGGTCCGCTAGCCTCTGAACGAGCCTAGCTCTGTGCTTGAAAGATGCAAGCTTCCTTGCTTTGACGTATGAAGCGGGGGATCTGTATGGGCTGTCTATTATTGGAAGCTCTAGGGAAGGTGACGTGCATAAGTGGGTGTTGGTTCCCCTGAATCGCTAAGCGAGGCTTTGAGCACGACCCCTATTCCGAAAGTGCGAGCTTATTATCTCGGTGTCCACGATATTGAGAATAATGAACCAATGGGGAAAATCCCCGATGTCCTCGGGAACATGGTATATGGGAAGAATGAAGCACAGCATCTTGGTCGGACGTGCCTTCCGAAATCGAGATCAATCGTCCGTCCCTTCCCCCTTTGCAGAAGACAGTTAAGAGCGTATCTCTTTCTTGCAGGTTCCAAGGGTGAGCTGCAGTTCGCATCAAAGAATTTCTTTTCTTCAAATATTAGGCTAGCTTCTTCCCAAGCTACAGCCTACAGTATGACAAGTCACCCGCCGCAAGAAGCGCATTGTGTCCGTCGAGTAGTAATTGAAGCGCCCTTGCGGTATGCTTAGGAACGCTTGGAGATCTTCACAATTGAATCTAAGTGACATGATTAATTGGTGATTAAATCAACGACTTGTTGTTTGCCCAAAGTTCAACCGCAACCATAAATATAAGAAAATCGGAGCGCTTTTTGGTTCCTCGGCCAGTGATTTTTGACCCTTGGATTTGCCTTGTGCACTGCCTCGACGCCTCGGCGGGTAATCTGGCGAAAGCATTCGACCACAGTGTACTACCCAGAAGACTGAAACGACGCCCACGCAATTGCCTTGCGAAGAGAACGATTTCTTAAAATTTTGTTGGCCTCTTCAAAATTGCTGAGTATGCAGTTGCTTGACACGAGGCCGTGGTGAGTTCTGACTTGCACGGCCTTTTCCTGCTGTGTTTCAGGTGCTCTTATTCTATTCTCGTCAGCTGCGACGCTATCTGCTGAAAGTGCCCTGGATAGGTGTACCATTCAATCTTAGGGTTGTACAGGATCTAGTCCAAAAATCTATAAAAAGCGAGACATTGGGTTGCGTTGGCTCCCTGATTCAGTTTCTTCGTCTCACAAACTCCAGGCCGGAAAGATCATAACCAGCTAGTATAAGCTTCCAAAGCAAGCAACATGCCCAGCATTGAAGAGCTTGTCGGTGCAGGCCTTGAGGGTGGGGAGCCAACACATTTCCTGGACGAGACAGAAGAATTCGGTCGGGTAACGGTCATTTTTGAGGCTGGAATGAAATGCGAACCAAAGCGACTATATTCAAGATACGACAGCTCTCGATATATAATCGAATGGATTGATGAGATTCCAGACAAGGTCACGGATCAGGCATACGGTTACGGCGATGCCTGGAAAGAATACGCACTTCTCCTTCGCACCAATCTTGAGCAGGGAGAACACCGGCTCTATTCAATTATTATTCAGAGCCCTCTGTTAAAGTCGAAGCTGAATTTAATCTTTGACGATTACCCAGGCTTTTTCATCGGCGAGAACAAATCGTCCATCATCGAGGCACCATTCACACCATTCGTACATTGCTGGGATGCTTTCACCAAATCTTGTGATGAAAAATCCGAAACTGGTATACACATGCAACTTCTGAGATCTGCATTGGAGCCTGAGCTGCAAGGATCTTTTTCAACGATCAAGGAATTTCAGTCTCACGGCATGATTCGATTCGACCAACTTTGGATGATCTTCAAACCAGGCTCCTTTGTATTTTCAGAACACAGCGGCATCGAACGAATATACAAACTCGCAGGACTGAGCTTCGCAATGGCACAGACTATACCAGCAAGTACTTCCTGCTCCATTCCTAGTACATCGACTGGGATGGAGGAATGCATGGCAATGCGCTTGACATAGATGGAGCCGAGATTTTCGAGGGTAGTAAATAGTACACCGACCTGGGAATCTATCCGTTGGATGTCCACCAAGAAAAGGCTGCTGTCGTTGAACGATTGGTTGTGAGGGGCCGAAAATTCTCATCTTATACTGGAGTCCACTACTTGGCATACGATGGCCTTGCCACGAACTGTGAATTCAGTATCTCCCCTGTGGGAGAACATGCATGTCATACCTTCTTCTCTCGCGTAACCTGGAAACTAACTCGCTGTAACAGGTTTCTGGACGAGTCGTGATAGACACAGGTAAATCTCCGTCTTTATGCAGGTGAGATGATCTAACCGGAAACTAGAAACCTTCGTGCACTTTCACCCTTTTTACCGACAGCTGATTCAACGTCTCGGAACTAAGGAAAGCAAGAACAAAGATCCCGACGGAGATTATAGTCAACCCGATACCTCTTACACCAGTCAGAACATTTATCTCAATGCTGGCACCTTGACAGAACAAGCTATCTTCAGCGCCAACAAGAGGAGTGCAGAGATGGAGCAGACTGAATTGACCGAAGATCTATTGATGATTTGCTGTTCCACTGTTAGAGGGTATTCCCCGAGTCTGAACCAGTGGAGTCGGTTTCTCTTGACTTTATTTCGTGAATGGTCCTGGCTGACTGTTCAAGACTTCGAGTGAATTTTCAGGTCGACTTACTTCGAGATATTGAGTGGAACGCCGATGCATTTGAGAGTTTGGCACTGCCTGGAAACCATAAGGAGCTTTTGCTAGCATTTGCTCAGACCCAAGGAGATTCAGCTGTCCAATTCGACGATGTTATTGAAGGCAAGGGTAAGTTTTGGGAGAATTATAGTTTATCTATTGACTGTTGTACTCATGGATATAGGAAAAGGAATGGTGGTATTGCTAGAGGGACCTCCTGGACTGGGAAAGACCTTGACGGTTGAATCCTGTAGGTTGCCTCCTATTTCATAAATATATTCCTTGAAAGGCGGTCTGTAAATGATCTGGACAGGAACCAACTAGTTTCGGGTATTGCCTTCGCTGCTTCACCGAAAGATTCTGAACCTGACTAACAGGGACTGCAGTCTTCCTTCAACACCTTGAATACTTCGAGGGGACAATCTTCCTTACCACAAATCGAGTCGAGTGCATTGACCCGGCATTTGAGTCCCGAATTCATCTGTCGCTGTCATACCCCGAACTGACTCGAGAATTACGGCACAAGATTTGGAAAAACTTTCAAACAGGATTCTAATTTATTCTTTTATTATAATTATTAGTAACTTTTATAGGCGAGAAAGTAATTAAAGTAATAAAAGCTAGGCTATAAATAGTTTGTTTTATAAAGCCTTTAATATAATTACCTTACTTGTATTTATTATTATAATTATAAATACTTGCAGTTCTTTAGCTTTTTTATTAGCTTTAGAATTCTTATCTAAACTTTATTTATATTTAGAGCTCCTTAAAAAAAGGTAAATTTTAGTATTATTTTTATTATTTTTATTATTTATTTGAATTTTTATAAACTTAGTTAATATATTATCTAAAATATTCTAACCTGAAATACTTAAAAAGATATTTTTAAATTATAGAAATATACTAGAAATAATTTTTTATTAAATAATAGTAGACTTCTTTTCGAGTTTAATATTAATCTTTTATCCGGTATTTATTTATTTAATTACTAAAGATTCGAGTTCTAGTTGATTTTCTCTTTTTAGTTATATATCTAATTTTTTAATTAGAATATAAATTATAGAAAAAAGTTCAAAAAATATATTAAATATTATTATTATAAAATATTTTATTTATAAAATAAAACCTTTTAATAATACAAATCCGATTAAATTAGTAATAAGTTCCGAAATATCTATAAAGCAAAAATAGTCTAATATATATCTCTATATATAATTAAGGAATTTTAAGAATATATTAATATTATATAAAAAAAAGCTATAATTAAAAGCCTTTAAATAATTAAGGCATTCTATTTCTAATATTTAATAGATATTATTATAGGCCAGGCCTTTATATAAAGAAAACTAATAGTTTAATTAATTAAATAGAATTCTTTTAAAAAAAAGAAAAAACGAGAAGAAATAGAACTATATTCTCTAAAGTATTTAAGCTCTTTAAATAATATATAATTATTCTATTAACTTAAGGAAATATATTATATAATAAAAACCCTGGCCTTTATTATATAACTTAATAAAGGCTTTTAGCCAAATATATAAATCGGGTTTTAATTTATTATATTACTTCTTTTTTTTATTTATAAATACTAGTTTTATAAATATATAAGTAAAACTTCTTTTTACTAAATAATTTTTTAAGCTTCTAATACTATTATTTCCTTAAATATAAAAAATATATAATTTTTTAAAAGCTTTTAATTATATCTTATATATTTCTTATTAAAAATCTATTTAATTTTATACTTATTTTTATTACTTATAAGTTATAATTATAGCTATAAGTTATTTTTAGAACTAATTTAGTAGCGAATCTATTATAACTAACTAAAGAAGCTTATTATAGAATATATTATATATTTCTAGAAAGATATTAAATTAAAAACTATAGCTTTCCATTATTTTAACTACTATATATTTAATATACTTTATATTAAGCTTCTTAGTTAGCCTATCTATTTAGATATTTTAGATATTAAACTAGACTTTATTTCTAATTTTAAATTCCGAAATCTAATCTCTTTTCTAATTTATTATTGTCGGTTCACTAGTAATGCATGGCACCGTTACGTAAGTCGTGGAATGCTATTTGCATATGGTTAGTGAAGTTGTTATTTAGAAGTAAGAATCGCAGTATTGTGGTATTAATATGCAATCCCTAAATCTGCTAAGCCTAAAGGGGTCTAGTCTACTGGTCGAGTTACTAATGGGACGCGAGGTCACATGACTATGTTCCGTATCCTATGTCCTATTGCCCATATCCCGTATCCCGTGTCCCGTGACTATATACGTAACTCTCAAAGAAATAGCTATACTAATACTAGAAACTCTCTAAAAACGCGAAAAATAGTATCTCTCTCCGATTATATGCAAATTTCCTAATCCGGCCTAGTACCAGATTTCCCAAACGCTCTATATGTCCATGTCGCTTCCGAGGTTTTGGTTATATACCAAAGGCCGCGGCCTTTTATACGTGACTTCCCCTCTTATAATATCCTCCTATTTCATATATCCATTTCCTGCCCTATCTATACTTAATCTATTTCTCTATATCTAATTATATGGTATTCGTATTAATTAGGTACTTGAGGGTATTCGTTAGCTTCGATTTCGTTATGGAATCGGCAGGATTTAATTCTCCCTTAATCTATTTGACTTCTATAATCTCTCATTATTCATATGCCTAGCAAAGGCATATTATATTAATTATTAGATGCTTTTCTCAAGTAGTTCCTAATTTAATAAGGCATTCGTATAATGACTTTAAATCCGTATAGACTACTAGTAGTAGTTCTATTTCTAGTACTCTATTAATTATAGATTTGACTAAAGCGCCTATATTAAAGCCATAAGCCATGCTATAGAGTTCCGAAGCTAGAACGCTTCTGGTAACTCTCTTGTATTTGGTAAAGAACTAGTAAATAATATTAGTATATCTAGTTCTGTCTATTAGAACTATAATATATCTGATTTGGGAGGAGAGATTTCTATTATTTGCAAATAAAGCATTCGTAAAAATAATTAAATATAAGAACTTCTTTACTAGCTTTACGAATCTCAGTCCTCTAGCGGCATTTTTAATTTGCTATTAAATACGCTTATTAAGTGCCTTTATATTAGTTTCCGAGGGTTTAATAGCTTGAGCGGTAATTAATAGGTTATATAAAGCTTCTGGTTAATAGACTAATATAATATATGCTTCTCTAGTATATTGGGTAATATATTAGTTCTTAATAGAAAAATCTTAATGAATAGTACCTCTATTACTTGTAGTAGTAGTATTTTTTATAGAAATAGTTCGGAGGTTTTTATACTAGTATTTCTATATAAGAGTAATTCTAGTAATATTCGTATAGATAATACCTCTATTAAACTTGAGATTGTAATTAATAGTAAGGTATTTATACTCCTTGGCCAAGAACTTAGCCTCTTAGAGCTTTAGTTATTCTATTTTTGCAAAATCGTTATTTCTGATAAATAGGGTATTATTAGTTTAAAGGCTAATAATTCCAAAGAATTACTTGCTATAGAGGAGGCAAGAGTTATAAGTTGACTATTCCATAGAAAGCTCATTAATATAATAGGAATAATAAGTCTTAAACCAGTAGTTCCTAGCTTCCGGTATACTATATAGTAGTTTTATAACCTTTAGAACCGAATTATTATTCAGATTTAGCTCTTTAGCAAACTTGCAAGGTAAGTTAATATAAAAATTATAATTAAGCAAGGTTATTAATTGGATATAAGCTTGCAAGATATTATATAAATATAGCTCTATAGTATTTATTATTATGGCAGTAATACTAAGGATAATTCTCTGGCTAATATATTAAATAGTAGGTAATTATATTAATACCATATGTTTTTTACCGTTATTATAAGCCTGGACGACTAGTCTCGACTTCTTAAACTCTTTTTCCGTACCCTTATTCTTAATCTTATTAATAAACTAGGAATTAAAGATATATACTTCCTTTAGTACCTGAGATCTGGGAGTAACCTCAAATATGCCCTTTTCTAGGAAGCCAGCGACTTTAACTTAATAGAAGTTCTTATATAGGTTATTGTCTTATAGAAATACCGTAATATCTGGGTTTTTGCAAGGGTATCCTCTGCCGTACTTTAGTAAAATAGCAGAAATGGCAGGAGAAATCATACCTATATTACCTTTGGCCTTACTATAGAGTTCGGGAACAGGTTCAGGTTCGGGGCTATTAGTAATAACCTTAATATTCCCTATATAAAAGGGCTTTATAGAGGTTAAGTAAAAGGTAATATTACTATATAGTAGAGCTAGTATATAGTTCTCCCCATTAATGGCTACTAGCTTATATAGCCTATCCTAACTACTAGATTAACTGGTATTTCCTTTATATTATATGAGAATATCCGAATTCAAGGGAAGTTTATAGATATTAGTAGTACTAGAACTATTTCGGGTATTTAGGGCATTTGTAATCTGGTATTTAGCTCAAAGCTTCTGAATTTCCACTATTATCTTTTTAAATACCACTAATTACTATAATATAGTTAGTAATAGGGTATTATATTCGGTTATTCGGGGTAAAGTACTATAAACCAAGAGAGTTGGGATAATACCGTCAGGTCTAGCGGAATTATTAATGGCCTTAAAAGCTATTTAGAGTATAGTATTCTTATTAATTCTATTAATTTCGGCTATAATAATAAGGTAAGTATATTAAATCGGGCCATAATAGTATTTTATAATTCTAATAGAACTATAAGCTTTTATAGGAACGATTTTGACCTTGGTTCCTATAGTATTTGTAAGCTAAGTAAACTTCTTATTAGTAAACTGCTTTCCGGTATCTGCTATAATCTAATTGGAAGGGCCTAAATAGGTATTAATCTAATACTACTTTAGGGTATCCTAAGTATATAATATACTAATATTTTAAAGCTATTAGCTGGCTTAATATCTAGTGCCTTTATTAATAATATAGAATATAGGCTTACCGGAAATATAGAAAATATTAATAATAATAGAGTAGTTAAAGCTAATATTATCTCTTAAATTAAACTTAAATTATTCCGGTAATTGTTTGAATTTCTGGTATTATTTATAGTATTTTATAAGATACTTAAGAACTTCTATATTAATATTATAGCCTGCTTATTCTAGTATATTTCGAAGCTTACTAATAAATAGATAACTAAAACGGTAATATAGATATTATAATTTGACCTCTATAAGAAAGCAGAGATTATAAGTAAAGAATTCGGAAATAAAGCTTTATAGAATAGTATTCCAAAGCAGGAAAGAGTATTTAAAACATTATACTATAGGTATAAAGTATTTATTAGAAGTAACGAGATAATTAGTGAGATTATTAAAGTAAACTCCTAGCTTGTTTATATTAGCCAAGCTAAGTAGGAATAGAGTCTTTACAGGTATAATATGGAATTATACTTACCTAATTAGTATTCTTATTATTATAGATCTAATAGAAGATATAGATCTAATACCAAACTAGATATTAATTTGACCTTTAGTAGTTTTATCAAGTTTAATATTACTATTAGTCTGCTATAAAGC